CTGGTAGCCAGTTTTGCTGGAGGAAGTCACCATTGTTTCCTTCTTATTTGAGTCATGCATTGTTTTATTATTTTTAACAATAAAACACTACAGGGAAACATGGGGAGCAGGTAGAGTCTGTCTTCACAGTTTCACCAGTTTTCAGTGTTGCTTACATTTAGGTGGGGGTGCTTTATCTCCTATCATCCCTTCTATCCCCACCTAAGGCATGCAGGAGACTCCAGAAGTTACAACAGTGCCCTAATACAGACACCAAGTTAACATATTTTAAAGATTCTCCTCCCAAAATGTTACCTTTGGTTAAAATATTTTTTCTGTTAGTTCTGGCAAAGTTTAATATGTTTTCACAGTACTAAAAATCAATATTCTCTGTGCTAGATTAACTTTTATTATTTCAATATAAAAATGGATAACATACATGAAAATGTAAACATAGATTCCTCGAAGATTGCCATCTATATTGCTTCAATAAAAACTATTATGGAAGTTTAAGGGCACCTAAAAAGAAAACTGGAACCTGAATGCTTATGGGTGTGAACATGTGAATGCTGAATAAAATTCAAACAAGAATACAAGGAAACATTTGGTTGCCTAAGTATTTTTATGGCACCATCTTAAGGATTCTGATGGTGTTTCTTCAAAGGGAGCCAAGTCTCAAGAAAAACAGGTGTCCGTCGGAGAACCTGCTGGATCTCTCTATGTGAGGTAGCAGACGGAACTTGCAGCTTGTTTTTCCACTTTTGTGGGAAGACATTTTTGGTAGAAGAAAAGATTTCTGGTGCCTGAGCAATTGCTCACTTGGTGTACGATCTTTAGAGCATCATAAATGCCCTTCCAAGGTCACTTCCTAGAAGTATTGAGTATCTTCATGCAATATTAAGGCAATGAAGAAACACTTCACTGAAGAAACATAAATTTCCCTGTTGGTAAAGAAAATAAAATATAAAAAAAAATATAATTGCTATTGCATGTAGTTCTTCCCCAAATTCTTCCAACTCCTTGGACATCAGCTGCAATTAGGCCACTCAAAAGGGGCATCCAGCATTGTTTGGTATCTGTCGAAGGGGCATTGAGATTATTTAGGATGGGATCCATCTCAATTAACTTAATTAACAGCCTTAAATTTGAGTGTCTAAAATAATCTTCCAGATTTTCCTAGGGAGAGTGGAGAGGCAGAAGCATCTACAAATGCCACTTTATTCCTTTGTAAGGTGAGAAGATTAAAAGGGGAATAGCAACTCCAAAATGGTTGAGCAGTATAGTTATCACAATTTGTCTCTATGACTCTCTGCAGTCCCCTTAGGTAGTTGTCACACTTTCACGCTGTGGAAGCTGAATTACTGGAGTACTGATTTTCAAAAGCAAGCAGTTCTAATCACTATCACATGAAGCAAGCTTTAACTGTCTGGAGGAGGATGGTCAGAGGTTTACTTCATGATTGCAGATGACCAGCATATTATCCAGCCTCAGCCTGGAGCCACAGAACCCCTGAGAAACTGAAGCATTACCTCAACCACCCCTATCCCTGAAAATGAGCTTCTCATTTAATGTCTAGGAATACCAGCCACAGGAGCAGGAACAGTTTCCTTATGGTAAATTAACTTCCAGTTGGAGCCCCTTAGCCAAGACAATATATGTTCAAATCCTAGACTTTAACTCAGGCAGAAGTTTTGCATAACCTTTATGCAAAAAACTATGAGATTAGGTTCTATGGGCTTTGCAATGCAAATTCACAAATCAACCAATTGTAATAGCCAAAACTGACCAGAAAACATATCAGGGTTTTTTTCTTCATTTTCCTAGTGCAGATTACAAATACATCTAGGAAATCACTCAACATACACAGAAATACACTCGGTATAAGTGTATTCACCAGAAAGTAACATTTGTTTTTTTTGGAGTGTGCCTCTGAGAAAAGATGTTTTATTTAAACAAGAAGAGAAGAGAGCAGTGGTTTTTTTCCTCTTGCAAGCTTAAGCAGGTGTAGCAGGTACAATTTACCACTGGAATAATAGGAGAGAATAGGAAAATACTTGTTATCCATTATTTGCATTACTGCAGCACATTCAAGCACCTGTCAGTGAGCACTCCATAGACATGGAACATAAACACATTCCCTGCCCAAAGAGCTAACCTGCTGTGCAGGGCAAGAGGCACAATCCCATCCAGTCAACCATAAAGAGTCAGGAACTTCTAGGAAAACTATGGTCAGCTAATGAGCATACCAGCATAATTGCTCTTAATTGTATTATTTAATTAAAAATGACATTGTATCTAAACATTTTATAAATGATAGTTATGAGTATGCTGATTAAGAATTTTTTTCCATTATTTATTTTTGTAAATATACCTTTTAACAAACTAAAATCTTCTGCAGTGTAGTGCCACCATTTTTTAAACTCAACATCAAAGGAACAACTTCCCAAACTTCTGGAACAGCTGGCAAATCCAAGATCTCACTTGTATCACTATTACTTCAGCCACCCCTTATTTCCTTTTCTCCATAATCTTCATGTAAAGAGCACACTGGTCTATCAGCTGGGCAGCCCTCGCCTGTCACCCGAACCCCAGACTTTTCTGCCCTGTAAGACCACTGTCAGGCTAGAGGGAGGAGAACAATCCTACAGAAACAAGTGTTTTAGCTCATTATTCTCCAGATTCTGGGGCCGATTTTATCAAGTCTTCATTCTGGATTTATCTGTTTCCCTATGGCTTTTGGCAGCTCTGAGATTCCTGCTGACTTTACCAAAAAAAGGAACCTAGTTTATCAGCAAAGCAGGAGTATAACTCTGACATACGAGAGGAAAATTTTGTGTAGGCAGTCAGCAGAAGGGGAAGGAAAGCCCAAAGGAGTTACCGACTCTCATTCTGTTTCCCATTGCTGAAACTGGTTATTTGAATACACTGGTAGATCTTCTGTGTTAATTAGATGTTATTTAATGATCTCAATCACTTCCTAAGGACCAGTGGCTCAATACAGCCCCCACGATAGCTCACACCATTCATGTTTTCCTCAAATATCCCGAGTTAGTCAATATTTGTACCACCTGGATTGTTCAGGGACAGTCAGTGGATGAAACTGGTAAATATCTTACATACGCAGGTATTTAAGCTTTTCCTCACCATAATAAAGTTTAAATCTCAGGCTTGGGCTGTCAATGCGGGTCCTTTTCTTTTTTAAAAATTATTATTGTTTATTTTAGGACTTCTAAAAATCCCAGGTTGGGTTTTTTGTGG